TCCTTCTTTTTCCCCTTCCTTTTTTTCTTCCTTCCTTCCTTCCTTTTTTTCTTCCTTCCTCCCTCCCTCCTTCCCTTCCTTCCTTCCCTTCTTTCCTTTCCTTCCTTTCCTTCCTTTCCCTCCTTTCCTTCTTTTTTTTACTGCTACATTAATTGAGAGTATTTAATTTTTAAGTCATTTTGCACCCATCATGTACCAGGACTTCCACCTTGGTTGAAGCAATAGATTTGTATTTATAATACTGCTCCCTACACTAGAAATTATTGTGATCGTGCATGATAAACTTTTTTGTTTGTTTGTTAAATGCATTTGTACCATTCTGGTGGTATGAAAGGGTCCCTGCACACTGAATGTAAATCAAGTTGCTATTTTCCAGTTTTCATCCAGTAAATCATCTATTCTGCTGAATGGCTGGGACCAAGCTAATGAAAGTTAGAAAGTAAAGTATGTTTTCAGTATTCTCATACAATATTTTTTAGAAAAACAGTTCTAAAATACTGCAAGTGTATCTATAACAAGCATGCTCACTGAAATGAGTCCCCTCACTTCAAGAGCTTGCACTATATTATCCTCACCAAAAGTTACTTACTGGAGCCTAGAAAAACTGCTTTCAGAAGATTCTGTATCAGAACACAGAGTCTTGCCTCAAAATCAAGGGAGGCATAAGTCATTAGCTGAAAGAAGGAGCTGGGTGAAAACTGACAACGAAAAGTTACTGGGCTTCTAAAAATAACTTGCTATATTCAGCTATGGATAAGAAGAGAAGGTAGTATATATAATTGAATATTTTGTTGTCAAGATGTCTAAGGCCATGGCGTATGAGAACTTGAAAATGTCTATACTTCACAATTCTGTGTGAGAACTTTACAGATTAATTTCAGGTTGCTGCAATACATAGACCTTTGTTCAGCGGTGGGCCAGATGAGAGTTTGTGGGTCAGGATAAATGAGCAGAGCAACATAAGGGACGTTGCTGTGGGTGACTGCCATAGCACACCTGATGAGGAAGTAGAGGAGACTTTATCCTGACAACTGAAAGAAGCCTCACATTGGCACAACCTTGTCCTCATAGGGGGCTCCTGATATATACTGGAAAGGTAGTACAGCAAGCACAAGTAATCCAAGAAATTTCCGGAGTTTTCCGGAGTTCATTCATTGCAACCACAGGTGTTTGAGGAGAAGAGGAAAGGCATTTTGTTGGACCACATTACTTATTACAAGGAAAGTCTGGACAAGGGTGTGAAGGTCACAGTCACCTTTGGCTGCAGTGATTGTAGGATTAAGTATCCTGCAAGGACAGAGTAAGGCAAAAAAAGCAAGAACAACCCCAAACTTCAGGAGAGCTGAAAGGCCTCTAAAGAGTGGCAGAAAGTTCACCTGGATACCATTCATTTAGGAGTACATTCCAGAGGCCAATCCTGGGGCCAGTACCATTTAGTATCTTCATTAATGCTCTGGGCACCTTTAGCAGATTTGCAAACTATACAAAACTAAGAGGAGAAGCTGATATACAAGTTGATTCTACTTCCAGTCAAAGGGCCTCAGCAGCCTGCAGAAATCATCAGAGAACAAACGCAGGAAGTCTGAACATGAGAAATGCCAAGCGCTGCATCTGGGGAAGAGTATCTCCATAAACGTGTACAAGCTGGGGGCTGATTGAGTGGAAAGCAGCTTTGCAAGGAATGGTCTGGGAGTCCTGGGCAGCAAGTTGAACATGAGTCATCAATGTCCTGTCACAGCAAAGTCTATTGGTATCATGCAATGCATTAGGAAGAGTGTTGCTGGTAGTCTGGAGCAGGTCATCCTCCCCCTCTGCTAAACTCTGCTAAACCCTCCACATCTGGAGTGCTGGGTCCAACTCCAGGCTTCTCCGTACAGAGAAGACATGGGCATATGGACCAAGTCCAGGAATGTGTTCACAAAGATGTTTAAGGCACAGGAGCATCTGACATATTTGCAGAGGCTGAGGGAGGAAAGAGATGGCTCAAGGGAGATTTTGTTTCAATGTGCATAAATTACCTGAGGGAATGGAGTAAAAAATAGACAGACCTTCCTCAGTGTTGTCTAGTGACAGGATGAGGGGCAACAGATACAAATTGAAACACAGGAAATTGTGTCAGGATATAAGAAAAAAAACTTTTTTACCCAGAAAAAAATTGCCCAGAAAGGCTGTAGAGTTTCCATCCTTGGACATATTCAAAATCAAATGGAACCATAGTCCTGGTCAGCCTGCAGAGATTTTCCCTGCTTGGGCAGGGTAGTTGAACAAGATGATCTCCAGAGGCCCCTTCTAACTTCAGCTGTTCTGTGGGTGTGATTCAGTGAACTTTTCCCAGCAAAAGTACACTTTGTAGAGCAGTATTTCTTCATGTAATGGAGTTTACATGTGTGATACAGGAAAGAAAGCTTATGCAGATTATTCACTAAAGACATTTTCAGACTGTAGCATAAATGCAAGAAGAGCCGCCCAGAATTTCTTGAATATGCTGATGGACTGACAGAGTCATAAATACTGGAATACGTTATGCCTTTGTCTTAACCAGCAGAGGAAAAAATAAATGTCCACCTCCCTTGCTCCCTTGCTTTGGTCTGGCATGATTCTCTCTCTACCCTTAATAAATTGACAGTAAATAGGTAGGCTTTTACTGGTATTTTGAAAAAAAAAATGAGGAAAATTCTGAGTTGCGAGAATCATTGACAAGCCTCAAAATGATATCTTTGCAGTATGTTTCTGCTTTACTCTGCTCATGGAGTGTGGCTGATACTGACACCACGCCTAGTGCAGGATGTGCTTAAAGACATGGTTTAGTCCATAATCTGCAATTCCACAGTAATTATATATTTTTCAAGCTTAGAATATATATTTCTGGGTTTAGGGATTGAGATAGATACTTTTTTCTTTAGTTAAGCTGTTTTTCTCCACATGCAAAAGCAGATCGGCAGTTCAGAAACAATGAGTTGTTCAGAGTCCAGTCTGCCCTCACTGAAGTCACTGGCAAGATTCACACTGATATCTTCAGGATAAACAAACAACAGTTCCTTCTTTAGCCCCCAGTCCTGAAGTGTCCTGCATAGGTTTTAATCTGTGAAGGTCAAGAATTTCACCAGTTAATTAATCAGTGGCAAAACACAGTTAGTTCCTACAATCACAAATTAATCACAGTTGCTCTTGCTGTTTGGCTTACGAGAGATACTAAGGTCTGATGATGCTTTAATTGTGCTCTGCCTGGAGGTGAGGTCTTTCTGCTGTTGGATTAGCACATCAGCAGTTCAGCTGAGGAAGATTTTGTTGTTCTTTTCCATGTTTCTTTTGTTCAGTAGATTAAAAAAAAAAGTGTTGAAGATGATTACTATTACTTGATCACAGTAACTTGATTAAGCAGAGGAAATGTCTCTGAATATGCTAAGTCATCATTTTCATGATCTTGCAAGCCCACTATGTGAAAATAAGCAAACTATATTGCTATTAATTAGGAGACACACATGGGTTTTCAGTCCAGGATGTACAGAGGAAAATAACTATTCCAAAGTGTCAGTTAATGAGGCAATATATCTTAAAAGCTTCAGGAGAGAATTCTGATATCCCGAAACTGTTAGGAACATTAACAGTGATTTCTCAGATTTGAATCAGTTCTTTCTCCACATGATTGTTTTCATTCGGGGTTGTCAGATTCAAAATTAATGTTGAAAACAATACTTATTCTTCATTACTGTTGTTTTTTGCAGCCACCAGTGATAAGACGGCCACCAACAATTATTTGTTATATATGTGGCCGTGAGTATGGAACAAAATCTATCAGTATCCATGAGCCACAATGTCTGAAGAAATGGCATCAGGAGAATGACATGCTACCCAAGCATTTGAGAAGGCCCGAACCCAGAAAGCCTGAAGTCAGTTACATACAAGGTAATCTACAGACCAAATGAGGAAATGGAATGAAGAAAGTGGGAGGAAAAAAAAGGAACTAGCTTAGTAGTTTGAATACATCTCAATAGCCCAAATACGATGTAGTCATCACAGGACACTACCTAGTTTTAAGCTTTTTGTTAAGCATTCTATTTTTTGTTTGTTTGTCTTTTGTTCTACATCAGTGAGAAATAAGAGCTTCCTTTGCCTTGTAGGACATGTCTCTTTATGTGTCAGTACCTTCTGAATCAAAACATGAAAAGATTAGCAACCTGCTTCACAACTAGACCATTAATTTTGTCTACTTCTGACACTGTAGCAAAGCATATTTTAAAATGAGCAAAAGCGCCCAAGGCCTGACCCATACGGTCATTAAAACAAAATATCTGAGATCTGGCTCGGAGATACCTGAGCCAGGTTTTACACCCAGAGTGTTGATTATGTATATATATAAGAAAAGGTCCGAGCTGTTACTCGATGATAAACAATGAATGGCCTCTAAAATGGAAGTTCAGTGGTAAAATAAGAAAATAAGAAAAATAGTACCAAACGCATAAGAATTGCTAGAAAATAGGGTATTTTGAAAGGCTAACCTATAATACATGCTGTAGTTTCTAGTTTCTATTAAAACACATATGCAGAGGTAAAATTGCAATATCTTCTACAACCAGATAGTAGATGCTGTTAGCCCCCTTTTATTTACAAGCCTTAGAAAATTATTTGGAGAGACATTATAAAGGTTCTATATCCCTAGGACCTTACAGAGCCGGGCTCCCATATTTATCCAAGGGGTGTGTGCTTGCTGTAGTATCAAACTGAATTTTTCTTTTGGCTTTGCTTGGAAGTTGATTTACTTTCATTGGATGCCTTCCCTGACCCTGCCAGGTGGTCTGACCTACACTGGGCCAAGTTCGGACCATTTGCACCCAGGTGACTAACTCACCAGCTTTTTTTGTGTGTTCTTTGTAAGCTTCCCTTAATGTCTGAAAAAAAAAAACAGACAACTCTCCCACAATTCATTGGGAAAGAATTATACATTATATTACTTCACCGCAGCACAAAGAAATATCCTTAGGAGATGTATCTGAAACAGAGCAGCATCAGTGAGAACACTAATCATCTGTTCAAAATAATAATAATAATAGTAGCTCATATAATATCAATAATGTTTATCAGATGTCAAGCAGAGGAGTTTAACCTGCTGTAAAAGATACGTTTGAAAGGCATTTTCATTGTTTTTGCTCTTATTGGTTAGCCTTTTTTATATGTGTGGTAAAAAAAAATGGAGAGAGAATCCCATCTGAGAGAGGAAGATGCAAAAGGACAATTCAGGTTATTTTGAAATACACTGTTCTTATTATGTGGGAGTGGAAGCAGAAAGACTTCTACTCTTTGAGAGAACAATCCAGCAAAAGGCTCCCAGATATGAATCAGAAAATTGTCTCATTTCTGCAGTGAGTCACATCAGGCGCCACACGTCTCCTGTGAGGTGCTGTGTGCCCACACTTCCCAGGCAGCCCAGATCTGCTTCCAGCGTGTGTCCCTGCTGATGCAAGTCTGATCAGTTCTGTAGCCTGAGCTGAAACTGTTCCCCCTACAGTTCCTCATGCTCCTGGCCTCGTGAAAATAGGCTTAATGCTGTTCTTTTTCCATAAGACATACTCTGGATCATCTGCTAAAAGCTATAATTGACCCTTAGACCACATACACATACTGCATGTCTCATGGTTTCTCACTTTAAGGAGGAGGGGTTGCCCTGTTATTGAATGGAACGGGCAGTGTTCAAAATAAGTTCAGAAATATTAACTGCTTACATAAAACTTTTTATAACTAGCATAAATCCTTTCTGAAAACTAAAGTGTCATGGCAAGACAACCACTGCCCTGATTACATAGTGTTTTGTTTGTGGAATGCAAACATATGCCTGTAAGGAGAAAGTCATCTCTTTTTCTCTTTTTTTTATATTCAGTAAACTTTCCAAAGTACAGAAAATACACATTCATTTCCTGAAAGCAAAGGGGTTATTTGTCTCAGCCAAGAAAAGAAACACTATTTGGTTGCTCTTCTAACAAAAAGAACATTAGGAACAGGCATATTAAGAGATCTAAGGCTTATTGTGGTAATGTGAACCATTGGATATGAGTCATATTAAAACTGTATGGGCCTTTAATGAAGAGATCCATGGTGTGCCAATGACAGAAACCATGGAACATTTTTAAATGTACAGATCCTTTTATTTTTAAAAATTGTCTGCTGCTAACAGTTCAAAGGCTAAAACTTCTTTCTTTTTTTGACATCTTCTGTATTGTTATAACTTTTGGAAATGGCAAAGCGAATCCAGCTCAAATCAAGACATGTAGATACTTTCTTTGTGTACTTCAAATGAAAAATCTAAGATCTAAATTCAGGCATCAAGCTACCTACCCATCTTTTTTGGAAATGAATTTGAAACAATGCTCTGTGATTCAAGATGGACAGATTTCTTCTGCCCATTCAAGAAGAAAATAAATAAGATTATTTAAAATCAAATTTTTATAATCAAATTATTATGAAATGCAGTCTTGAAAACACATGTGATGCATGCATTTGTAGAATGCTTCTGAAATTTCAGAGCAGTCAGTCTTTCCGCAGTGGAAAGTAACCGAGAGCAAAACTGGGTTAGTGCATAGATGGCAATAGACACATCAGTGCAATGACCTCATTGGAAGCTGTGGCTTAAAAGAACTGTATTTTTTTTTCTGTAAGACATTTTAGGCTTACCTAACCTTTAGTTAAGTTATTGGCAAAACTTTTATAGACTTCAACAGGAAGAAAATTGGGCCCCTTTTCCAGGGCAGTACAAAGACCACATTCTCAAGCACAATATACTCCCTCTTATTGCCATGGTCAGATAACACATGCTCATTAAACAAAACTTGAAGTAAAGCCAAAAAGTGAAATTTGCTGATAATAGTATGTACACAAAGATGTTAATAATTAGCTAAGAATGCATATCATAACACACAGCATGATGTTTCTCTGTTCTCTCATACAATACAGAATGATTCAGTTTGAAGTTAATTTAATTCAACCCCTGGGACAAAAAGCAGAGTCTTTTTAATAAGTATATGTATTTTTACTCTTTTACTTATTTCTTTCTTTTTCATTTGCAAAAGCAATATGGTTTGGTTAAAACTGAGAGGCTCAGTCAACAGGTATTTCCTGAAAATACTTTCCATAAAGAGTTGAATGTGGCTTTCCAGAATGAAAACTGATACTTTCTTTTTTTAATTTTCCAGCCAAAGGTTTCTATGATCTTGATTCTTTAAACAACGCTGCCTGGATCAGCGCCCAGAACCAGCTAGTTCCATGTGATATTTGCGGGCGTACTTTCCTTCCAGACAGACTGATCGTCCACCAGAAGTCGTGTAAACCGAAACCTGCAAAGTAAAGTGTATGTAACAAACATGCATACACATACATACACGTGTGAGTGTGCATGCACAGGAGTATACATACATACACACATAGCTTCCAACCACACTGTGAGAGCAATAAAATCCAGATGGAGAGTGCATTGTCAGGTCAAATGGTCTGAAGGTCTCCAGAGAAAGCTCAGCAGTAGCTACTGCAGTGTGAAATCAAATGCGGTGATTTTTATCGCAGTAGTGGCAGAAATCCCTCCTCATTTCAGACACTCAGGTAGCACCCACCTTGAAATCACAGTGTGAGAGGGGAGGACATATGTGTACTTGAAGGTAATGTTAAATTTCATCTTTACTCTTCTGATTCTGTGCTGTGTTGGGTACATGGAATATTCAACCAAAGAATCTTCACCAGCTGTTTTTTGAATCACTGTCCTGCCTGGATGTCTGTTGCCCAAATGTGACATATTCTTCATCTCTGCTTCTTTCATAGCCCTTCAGGTTTAGAAAGCTGGACCATGGAAAACAGTTATGCCTCTACTTGCAATACCCTATCGCTGTCTTTCACTACAGAGATACTCAAGAGAGTTTCCTATAGAGATTCTTCTTGTTGTCTTGCTCTTCAACAGATCCCTGAGAGTGGGAGAGACAGTCAAATGTGAGGAGCTTCCTTGTCAGCAGGGACATTCAGGTACATGTCCTGCTCTAAATGAATGCTGTCACTTAGGCCTTCAGGAAAAAGGAGGCAGCTTATAGGAAATCAGCATTTTAATGAGGAGTAACTCACCAAGTCTCAATGGAGAATGTCAGAGTGATGTTGCTCAGGAAAATGAATACTTTAAATAATTGTCTTAAATTTGGTCTTCACTTCCATCAAAAATTTGTCTAATCAGTAAAGACTTCCAGCTGAATTAGACTAATTAGAGAAAGCCCATCTTGTCCTCAGCAAGACAACCAGAACTCTTCATTGGCCTCCACTGAAGAGCTTAAATCCATGAAGCACTGCAGTATTCACACTCTTGTGGGAAAGCGCAGCTCACAAAGTCCTTGACTGCCATGGATAAATCTTTCTCTGCTAAAAGAATACAAGTGTGAATCACAAGCAAAGACTGGCTGCTTTTGGAAAACACCATGGAAGTGCCCACTTCTTGGAGACATTTCCTACTTAAGAATGGTCCTTATAGTATGATTTATCATCTACTCAATAAACCAAACATGCCAAAAATAGTGTAAGTCAGTTAGAGAAACACATCTTTGTCATGAACTTGGTAAAAGAGAAAAACACATCTGCGTCAAGCCAAAATAATCATGATGTGTCTGACGCCTGGAATGAAATACCACCCTTTTCTTTGTGCCAAATGTGACTATAACAGTGCCAATGAAA